AGCACTGGATTTTAGTGAAATTGTCATGTATTTTTTACACTTATTCAACAGATATAGCAAAAAAGATTAAAAGAAGATAATTATTAGGGTTTACATATTCTTCAAGCAGCTCACCCCACCTTCAGACTATGAATGGACAGTGGATGAGTAGCAGTAATCTGATGAGTTCTTCCATGTACTCACTCTGCTTTCTTCTTTGTCTGCACGCAGCAGATCTGATTGGCTCCTAGCAATGCCCCTCCAAGTCTTACTGTGCACGGGATTACAAGTACCTCCTGTATTTTTTTTCTATCTGTCTGGTGCTAAGCTTTCAAGATACAGTTTATTATAATTATTTTTTGCCTTTCCTGGACCCCAAACCCCCCCATACTAACGACATTTTTTTAATGAGACCTTTCTGCTTTCATTACATACCTTATTTTAGACACTGTGATGTCTTCCAGGGTCTCTCAAACATCTCAACTCTCACGGATGTTCCTTGGGTCTCCCACTATTAAATAGCGGCTCCCGGACACCCAGGAGAGAAACATTTTCTCCTGGAAAGGTTTACTCTGCTCGATCTAGCAGAGTAAACCTTTCCGTGCGGTCATTTTTTTTTTTCTGACATCGGGGTCGTTGTCAGTCAGAAAAAAAAAAACGGCATAGATGCTAATAGCTAGATTGCTATTGGCTTTTTCAATTTGCAATAGCCAATAGCAGACTAGCTATTGCACCTGCCCACTGCTGCTGTCAATCAGCAGAGGTGGACCTGAAATTCTCCATCCTATCCACCTCTGCTGACAGTAGCAGAGGGCGGGTGCAATAGCCAGCTTGCTGTTGGCTATTGCAAATTGAAACAACCAATAGTAATCTAGCTATTAGTACCTATGCCGTTTGTTTTTTTTCCTGATGGCAGCAGCTATCAGAACACTAAAAAAACACAACAGATAGCAAAGGAAGCATTAGCTTCTTTGCTATCTGCCACGATTTCAGGGGGTGCACTCTTCCTTGTTGTTGCACACCCCCCCCCCAGAGTAAGCAATTGCAGTACAGTAGAGAAGTGTAAGAGTTCAGCTTTCAGGATGTGCATTGTGATCGCAATTTTCAATATTTTGTCCAACTGCAGGGAAAACTTAAAGTGATATTAAAGCTTTAGGTTTTTGTTTTTTTTCCTGTATCTTTGTCACTGGGAGGCCATCTTTATTGCAGATTTTTGTTTTTCTTCATTTATCAATTTCTCGTTTTCTACTGGCTCCCTGCATCCTCTCTCCCCTCTCCCCCTGCATGGGTGCTGCCATCGAGCTAAGCGGCTGCTGTGGAGGCACCCGTGCATGCACATTCCAAGCCGTGCCTGCAGTAGCTCTGTGCGTCCATAGCAACACACAGCCCCTGCAGCAGGCCACGCTCCTCTTCTCCACCCAGCAGTTTGGCTGACGGCAGAATGTGCCTATGGCTCCTCTGCCCTCTGTATGCTCCCCCACTACCAGGAAATTCAGGGACAGAGGATCGCTTTGGCTGACCGACGGCGGTGACAGCTAAGTGGGGGGGGCAGGACGGGACTGGGGAGTCAAAAAGGTACTGGGCATTTTTTACCTTAATACATAGAATGCATTAATGTAAAAAACACCCAGCCTTTAATACTACTTTAAGAGCTAGCAATATGACTATTCATACACTTAAAGTAGTATTAAACTCTCAAACTTTTTTTTTCCTTTACATTTTTGCTTAAACACTTAGTCATCATGTTTCTGAACAGCTGCTTCCAAGTCTCTCTGCTCAGCTTCCCTGAAGTTCTTGTCCAGTACAAAATCACAAGGGACAGAGCAGACTCCAGCAACTGTTCGTCTACTAGCTTGGAGAAGGGAAGAGAGGGGGGCAGGGGGGAGGGGAGTAGCTTGATTTGCTGTGTTTGTGGATACACACGCGGCTTACTAACACACACAAGGATGACTGCATGTCACTCTGCTTGAGAAAGAATTCACTTTAAAACAGGAAGTCAGAGTCAGCTGATTTAGCAGGAAACTAAAATGTTTAAACACCAGAGCAGCATCCATTGTAAGTGATTTCATCAGCATTTGAAATCGCTTAAAATCCTATTGAATTTAATATCACTTTAACAGTCTCAGCAAAGTTACTATAGAAAACTATTTTAATAAACATAGTGGGTAGGAGAAATCACGGACCTATACAACCAGTAAATTAGAAGAAGGTGATGCTATTCATATGATGAGGAAATGTATTCAGACTTTTGTTGGTCATCGACAATTTTTTATCATTTGTAGCATCTTTTAACCTAATATATGTAGCCACGTCTTTTGGGAGTTGTCATGGACTGGGAAATCAATAATACACTCAATTCTTTCCTAGATTTGATCACAGGAAATTGGAAAAATCCTGCTGATTTAAAATTTAGCTGACTGGAAAAAACAAATCAATCGATCCCCACCTCTCATACAAATCTACCGCTGCTCACAGACATTTGATTGCACGTGGTCCCTCCAGATGGACGGGTGGAATCATTTTAAATAAATAATGCTTTATCAATATGTTACCAAATCCATGAAAACCCAGAGATATTTTATAGCCTAGAGAAAAAAAGGAGAGGAGAAAATTATTTGTGTTAAATATTTAATAACAGACATATTCAAAGTCATTACAATGTAGAGCAAAGTAGGATCTGTACATATTACATATAGTTAATTACATATAGTTAATAAAGAGCAAGTCCCATCAAAACATGTAGAAAAACATGAGGTAGAAAATAAATTAAAACCAAATTCCTCTTGATCAATAGAATCTTGTTCCCATGTGTACAATAAAATATAATGAAAACGTGAAAAAAAATAACAAATACAGAAACAATCAGCGGACCTGATAACGCCACCCTGGCTGTCACCTGGATCTCAAAGGAAAGGTTTATATCTCCTCTTGCATAATGTGAAAGTTTTTAAAGCCCATATGAATCCTCGGTTTAAATCGGGTAAATACATCCCAAACGCATCAATACAAAAGCAGTACAACGTGTTGCAATTAGTTTTCTTTAGAAAGCAGCCGCATTCTGAGTAGAAAAGCCTGTCTCCTCCAAGCATACTGGTCTCTGTGGGGAAGCAGTGGTCCCATTGAAGAGCAGCGAGCATGAGTTTTGCTGATGACACAGCTACTGGTCTGACCCAGAAAGGGGCCTTTCAGACTTCTGCAATGGTTCCCCACACAGAGCAAGGTTCCCATTCTGCAGCTGCTGGTAGGGGACAGGCTTTTCTGCTCATGCTGTGGCAGAAAGTGAACTGTAAGGCAATGAACGCCTTTTGTTTAGATGCACCTACAATGTATTTATTAGTCATTCAGCAAATGCCTAGTACTTTTATCAATGAATACTAGTCATTCTCTAAATGGACGAGCTGCAGTGCCATAACAGCACCTCCTATCGCCCAATCAGAGAATGCCTTGTAATCACTGCTAAAAATACTAGGTGTTTGCTAAATGGCCTCTTTGCTGAACAAGTGACCGTTTTCTGATTGGACAAAGGGCAGTGCTGTGACATCACCTCTTCTCATCCAATCAGACATCACCAAGCCATTTGCTGATGTTTAGGTAGGTGGTACGTGTCAAAGGTATCCCAGCAGTACATTGGCTGTAGCATCACACTGCCTCCGCCAACTTGCCTTTTTCCCATAGTGCATCCTGGTGCCATCTTTTCCCCAGGTAAGCGACACACACAGCCAGTGTGATCTCTGGATGAAGCCAGGTGTGTCTTGATTTGCAGGCTCCTGATAAAGAAGACCAAAGATTCTGAATGAGGCTTGCGTCAGTCAGCTTGTGTCTTGATGTCCAGCCACCTTCATAAGTCTATGGCCAGCTCAAGGGTGGCCATACAGAGGCAGATCTCTCAGTGAAGATGTTGGCTGTCCATCTTTCTGCAAATATTAGGCTTGTCTTAATTCAGATAAAATCCATAGTGACCTTGAGTAATTAAGCTGCAAAAACAAACATGCTAAAATGACATGTTTGACATGACATGTTTTAATCTATTTGTTTATGCTGTCTGTGCACCCTGGGGGAGATTTCCCTTCACTTCCCATCGAGGAGATGCAAGGGGACGTTAGAGGAAGTCTACCAAAGTGATTTGAATTTCCCTCTTAGGTGTGCCAGGAATGGGTTTCCCCGCTAAAAGATTTACCCTTACCTCATGTTCATGTAACAACTCTAAAATGTTGGATATTACTTTCTGCCTCGGTGACAGAAGTCACTTGTAAAAAAAAGAAGGGTGAATCTCCTTACTGAGGACACCACAATAAAAACTTGCCAGATGGGTATAAACGTGGGTAAAAAAAATAGTTAAAACAAGCTCATGGCTTCTTCAGCCTCCCCCTGGCTATCCAGCAAAAATTATACTAGGGGCCGTAGATCTGGCCGATAACTTTTACTGGGTTGTAAATGTACGGAGCTGTCATGCCATGAGTCCCAGCTGACATGGCATGGCAATTTTAAAGCTTGACACAGGTTTGTTATCTATTTACTCAATGCAGCTTCATCTTTTATATTTTCGCAAAATAATTGGATTGAATTTTACTGTATTTGTTCCTGAAAAAATAGATTTGATAAACACTGTGCAATGTAAAATAATGCAACTGCCATCATTTTATTCTACAGGGCCTCTGTTTAAGACAATGTGTAATTATTTGGGGGCTTCAAGTAATGTTCATGAAAAATTTGCAGATTTTAACAAGTGTGTAAAAAATTTAAAAAATGCTCTGGACTCAAAGTGGTTACATGCCATTGCAGCTTGATGAATAGGGACTATGCTGTCTTCTTTGTATAAATGAGAGAAGTTGTTGATCACTCACAGAGATTTTCTGACACTTATTGCTCCAGTTTTCATAATTCACCGTCAGTCACACCATTATAAAAGGTTTCAGTACTTGCAGGCTTTCTCAGTATTCTTCCATCAGGAAATATTTTGCAATGCAGTTCTTTTAAACCAACTTTTCTTCCGGCTTCTCTACTTGTGCTTCCCCTTATAGAGTGACTAATGATACTGTTTTCACTAGCACAGCAGCCGGTGTACCAGCAATGGCTCAGATTTCATATATTGCCGCACTGCTCATGTTATATCATGTTTTCTGCAAAGACGTTGAGGTATCAGAAGAACCTTTGTGCACAGAGGTAACTTTTTTCTTTCATGGGATATGGTACGGTATAGCTCACCTGCACATGCTTTACATATTTCTAAGATTAATTAAGTCTGAGGGAAGAATAGCACCTTATATGTATAGCTGTCTCTGGGCATTTTGTGAGTGAACTATTATACCACAGATATCATTATTCTGAATTCTGCATGGCCATGAGCTAACCCTTTCTGAACTTATGTCAACATTTACCTAAGGCAGCCTTTCTAAACCAGGGTGCAGTGGCACATTAGGGTGCCTTCTGGCTTCCTCAGGGGTCCCTCAAAATTTGGTGATGGTAGGACTCTAATGTGAATGGGGAACTCCAATGAAAAAAGGAGGGATTATGATATAAAGGGGGTTTCTGATGTGAAGAGAAGCTTCTTATGTAAAAGGAGGGGGACTCGGATGTAAAAGTGGGAGCCTTCTAATGTGAAGAGGAGCTACTGATGTAAAGGGGGACTTTGATGTGAAAGGGACAATTCGGATGTGAAAGGGGGCTTTTAATGTGATGGGGCTCTTTATTTGAAGGGAGGACTTCAATGCAAAGGATGGAACCCCACTTTTTTATGTGTTGTTGCGTGGGGTCCTCTACATTTTAAACTGGGGTGCCTCAAGATTTTGCATACTTTTTAAGGGTGCCATGACTGAAAAAAGGTTGAGAAACACTGACCTAAGGTACCTAATCTAAAGGCTAACTATATCTAAAAATATTTTGTTCTGGTAACTGTATGTGGTTCTTACTTGTATTGAAAGTATTCAATATATGATGTTTTTTTTTTGGTATGTTACATGCCTTTATATATATATATATATATTTTTATCCACATTTACATGCAGGCCAAGCTGTCCAGAAACATTGGCAGTTACAACAATCCATAGAACACTGCTGGTGGTGCTCACGATATTCAGCTGTTATCTTTTGATATTTAAACTTTATTTTCCCCCCAAAAAGAAACTGTTACTGTTAAAATGATGGTTTAGCTTGGACCGTCTGTCTTGTACGGATAGTCCATTTAAAAACTAAAGCTGGCCAAACACCAGTAATCACTTGGTGCCTCCCTAGTGTCAATACAATCCATTGGATAAAAAATGCAGCAGCTGGGGCTCCTGGATGCTGGAAATCCAATCATATTTTATTCTGTATGGCCATACGCCTATGTTTGCATCGGTGGGAATGAGCCCTAATGGTGGGCTGCTGTGTTAATTCTAGTGACAATCTTGCATCATATATATTTATTTGCCCATAGTTACACTTTTAGCATATTTTGCCTTGTTTAAAATGGAAAGTGTGAGGAACAGCGATGATGTACAACGTACAGCAATCCTGAGCAATCAATCAGAAGTTGTCTTTTAATTCATCTGGCACAAATCGAAAAAATTGTTACTGTGCTCATGTGTTATTCCGTTTATCTCCTTTCTACAACTATAAGATGTACATTCAGTTTTATAAAATAATAATGTAAACTGATCTTAAAAGAATATTTCACTTTGTGGGTCTAGAGGAGTATTTCCAATGCAAATGCAAAATGAAACCAGAAAACAGCAAAATTAAACAGCGGAGGCCATGTGTGTTAATTTTCAGGTGATTGCGGCTACAACCTATGATTGTGAAGGGTTGGGACTGCAAAACCTGCCCGACAGTCTCCCTGGCTCTACAGAGTATCTGGATTTCAGCTTTAACTCTCTACTTGCTATTTATCATTTCACCTTCAACAGACTGGAAAAACTGGAGTATTTGGCTTTATCAAGGTATGACTGTATATACCGATTTATTAAGGTATGACTGTATGCACCAGATTTATTAACCCCTTCATGACTGAGCTAGTTTTCAGATTCTGTTCATAAATGACTGTATATACCTGATGTATTAAGGAATGACTGTATATACCGGATTTATCAAGGTATGACTGTATATACTGGACTTTAGGGTAAGATGTATATACCGGATTTATCAAGGTATGACTGTATGTACCCGATTCATTAAGGAATGACTGTGTATACCGGATTTATTAAGGTTGGACTGTATGTACCGGATTCATTAAGGTATGACTGTATATAACGGATATATCAAGGTATGACTGTATATACCAGATTCATTAAGGTATGACTGTATATACCGGATTTATCAAAGTATGGCTGTATATGTTGAATTTGAAGTTGTGACTGTATATGTGTATGTTCATCATCAATTAAGAACATTTCTTTTTCTCTGCACACTTTTTAGCATCTGCTTAATAAAATGATCACATTGTTTTTTTTACAGAATGTTTAAATTCTATTGTTGCTTGTATCAACCAGTCAACAGGATTTATTTTTTGTTTGAGTTATTATTTTGGATAAACTGTAGGTAGCAGCAGATATAAGCAGCAGATATAAGATACGGAACCCACATTAATTGTGAGATTGGGTTCCTGCTGTAATTGTGCATGGCTCCTTGAGTGTGGTAGACCTTCTCAATAATTATTAATATTTATTTCAACTTAAATTATTCGTCATTGAATAAACTGTGTTATTGCTAGTGATAGACCACACCCAGACATACATGGACACAGCTAGTAGATCATTCTAGAAACAATTGATTAATTTTCAAACCTGGATTGTAAAATTGAAGAAAAAGCCAATTGCGACCATTTCACTTAGGAAAAAGGGAGTACATTGTGTCATGGACAGTATAAGTCATTCAGCAGTCTATGTAATCTGATTTCCCTGCTATTCAGGTTTAAATTAAAAATAATAGAATGCTGTTGATCTGGTTAACTTCACAGCACCAGTGGTAAATCTTAAATATTAATTTGAAATAATAAAGACATGAATAAAAGAAAAATGTTTTAGTACTGTATATAATGCAGTACATAAAAAAGAGAATGTGGACCCTGCCTGTCAGTACATGTCCTCCAATAAAGTGGGTTCTTGCAGCCAATCAGTCATAACCATATTAGGGACATAACGTTACCCATAATCCCTGGATTAGGCTTGGGACCTGTCATTTGCCACCTGAGTTGCATCACCATACGGCTTCCCAGGGTTTGTTTGTTTACAAACAGCAGCTGGCAGGGAATCTGTTTTTTTGTGGTGGTAGTGTGACGGATCAACATTGTTGTGTGGCATGGAGACATTGTTGGGCAGAAGGGCAATATTGTCGGTCTGCGGGTTTTCATGATTGACTAGGATCTACATTGCTGGATGACATGATTGACACTGAATTTTCATCAGAGGACAGTGTTTCCTTTTTTCTCTAATAAGGGACTTTGTCTGTGTTTGTATTTACTTTTTAAATTATTTTGGGCAATGAGTAGAATCGATATGAAAACCCCTTCTTACTCTAATTCCATGAAAAAAATTGGATATCTGGTGGCCCTCTTATTAAAATGGATTTCCATATTCTGCTCCATTTCCCCTCCACCCCTTAAAACCCTCACTCTTACATTTGGGGACAGGAGGTGGGGATGAGGTCACTGTTCCCTCACCATGGAGGGGTGCCTTGCAAGCATTGGGGAGGCTTCCCAGCCACGCAGGCTGAATGTCTGGACAAGGGTCTGGTATGAATTTTAAGGGGACCCCAAGCTATTTTTTTTAATGAACAGTACACATTAAGAAAAAACTGTAAAAACGGTAGGGGGCTCTCCCTTAAATTCATACCAGACCCTTATCCAGGCATGCAGTGAGCAGCCCCCCGAACCATATGCCTTTAACGTGAGCTTTCATGAGCAAGGCCCTCCTAACTCTCTTGTATTGAATTGTATTGTAACCATACTGTCTCCCTTTATTAGGTGAAGCATTGCACAAACTGTTGATTTTATATAAATCCTGTTTAGTAATAATAATTGGAAGGGTACCAAGGCTACCAGGGGGAAGCAAATCCTCTGCCTTCTTGCAAGGCACCTTGTCCCCAAGGGCTTTATTGCCACATCCAGTAATCCCAAAAAATGTGGGGGGTGGAATCTGGAAGCTCCCTTTGTAATTAGGTGGCTCCCAGAAATTTGTTCCCCCAGAGGAATAAGTATAGAGTACATAAATACTTATACTCACTCCCCCAAAAAAGATTTAAGAAGTAATTAAAGACAACCCCTTCTTGACAACTTCCTGTCCAGCGATGTAGCTCCAGCATTAATCATAATGACCTATGGCCATCATAACTGCCATCTGATGATGTTGCCCTGCTTCACTACCACTGCAAAATAAGATAATCCTGGCCTGCTTCTGTCATTTATCATTGGCAGTATTTTTTGTCACTTTTAAAGGGTTAACATTTACTGTTCTGTTACTTAATGTGCAGCATTAAGGCATCCCCCAAGGATGTTAGGTAAAGGATTTGTTTCCCCAAGTTATATTCAAGGTTTGAAGACCTCCTACTGGGTTCACAGAATTGAACTTTGCTCAGTTTGCTCACCCTAGTTGTAAGAATACAATGTCTTGTGACAAAGTGTCAAACATTTCATGCAATAGCTAAATTGTGTATTGCAGCGCCTTCTGGAGTTGCCTGTTATGCAGTGTAAGTGTTGGTTTACTACATCTTCTATGCCCGTAGATACATTTTAAAGGAGCTCGCTTATACATGTTAAGATCCAGCTCCTCAACCAGTGAAATTCAAATATTCTTTATTATTCAACAGTTCATCCACTCAGCCAGGATTAGAAGGAAAGTACTAAGGCCCATTGTTAAAGATTGCTACCAATACTGTATATTGCTGTTTAATTCTGTTGGCTTAATCACTATGATTGCCCTATTCTGCATAAGCACTTCTAGATAAACCCTTGCTATTGTCAGTTACCTTATCTGTGGAAGAGAACCTGCAAAAATGGCAGCAAGCATGTTCCCTGATTAAAGCACAGTCCTCATTTACAAACACATTGAAGTGTTGGTGGGAGGTTGCACAATACACTTACAAGAGGCTGCAAGTCCTGCATGAAAGCCTGGCTTCCTGAATGGGACTTCCGGTACTCTGTATTTTGTATCGGCGAGTACCGAAAAAAATATCGGTACTCGATACCGAAATACCAGTATCGATGCATCCCTATTAACTAATATTAAAGTAGACTGAGTACACTTTTTGAGTTTAGCCACGATATAGCATTTCCTAAGGAGCACTAGCTATTTCCAAATGGATTTAATTTGTTGTGTTGAGTTGCAATTTCCATTACTTAAACCTGAAGAAAAGGCTAAATACACAGATCTAATACGTATATAGGGGCTGTTTAACCTCCCAAAGGATTTGTATGTATGTGCATCCAGCCCTGAGATTTGCACAGCTTTACTATACAGCCCTGTTTAGCACAGCAGGAGACCAGATGTTTCTGCAGTTGTGTAACAAGTCTTGTCCTTCTACCGGCCTTGACTGGACATCAAAATGAGAAGCGGGAGAATGATAAGCTTATCTCTCTGTCACTTTACTCTATTCCTATCAGCATGTTCCTTGTTACTTAAAGTGACATTAAACCCTCATATTTTTTTAATATAAAACAATACTGTAATGTGCGCCTTACTGTAATCCATGGTAGTTTCCCTTCTCTTTGCTGCTCTTCCTTTTAAATCCTCATGTCTTCTCATGCTTGGGGAGAACTTCCCTTTGCAGCTCAGGGCCTCTTCCTGTAGTGCTGGCGCAGGTTACAAACCTATACAAACCTATACACAGACACCATATATCCATTCCTGAGACAAGGCAGTCTGCAGCAAAACAGAAGTTCTGCCCAGCATGAGAACAGATACAGATTTAAAAGGAAGAGCAGCAAAGAGAAGGGAAACAACCATGGATTACAGTAAGGCACACATTACAGTATTGTTTTATGTTAAAAAATCTGAGGGTTTAATGTCACTTTAATGCAGGTAATTACCATGCATTTAAAAATACATGTACTGATGTTTCAATGAGTACAGAGCGACAATAATTTGTGTCTTTCACTGTATATCTGCCAGAAGTTCAACTTTAAAAATGCTCTATATATCGCTTAATATCCTTTCTTGATTTAGGAAAAAAAAGCCTCAATTTGTTGTTTTTTTTTTTTACAGATGCGGGATTGCTTGGATATATGATGATGCTTTCAGTAACAATACAAAGCTAAATACACTTCTACTCACTGGAAACAATATATTATACATAGCTGATAGGGCATTCTTGGGAGCTACATCACTCCAACACCTTTACTTACAGAAAACATCTATATCGGAGTTGTGGTTTATACCAATGAAAACCCTGCCTAACCTGGAAACATTGCACGTGGGGAGCAATTATATTACTGATATACAACTTCCTGATGACACACCTATGACCAAATTGAGGACTTTGAATTTTGAGTTAAATCAGATCAGTAGAATATCGGTGGAGGACTTGAACATTCTCAAGCACACCAACAATTTGACCCTCATTTTAAAGGGAAACAACATTGAGTACATTGAACCAAACGCTTTCAACTTTAGCAACTTACATTGTTTGGATTTGACTGGTTCAGCCTGGAATGTCGATTTGTCATCAGTTTTAAAGGGCTTAAATGGCTTAAGGGCTGACAATCTAAGGATTGGTACCTTTATTGACATAGACGTTGACAAGGATGTATCCCTATCAGATATGGATTTCCTTTGTAGTGTATCAATGAAGGAGCTCAGTCTGCAGTACAGAGCTTTTTCTGATCAACATAAGTCATTTCCATGTTTGGCCAAGACTGAAAAACTGGATTTTACCTGTACAAACCTTAAAAGCTTTGCAGGGCTGAGCACAGACAACATTCTAAAGGAACTGATATTAAACAAGAACAAGTTCACCTCACTTTGCAGTATAAGCTCAGATACTTACCCACAGATCACCAACCTTCATATAGCAAGAAATATGGACACATTAGATTTGGGAGATGGATGCTTAAAAAGTCTAACCAGCCTTGTGTATTTGGACCTGAGTGAGAATGAGTTTATGCATTCAACATGCTGTAGCACACACTTCAGGGGACTAGAAAGCCTCACCTTTTTAAACATGAGTTATGGAATAACGTGCACACTACACAACCCAGCCCTACCAGAAACCAACAAGATAGAGGTTCTAGACTTCTCACATGTCCCTTTATTGATTGATAAAGCTTTCAGTCCTTTTAGTAATTTAGCTGATTTAAAAGTCCTCAACTTGTCTAACAGTTATATAGATACAAGCAACAGAGAAGTGTTTAAAGGTCTCCAGAACCTTCTTTTCATAAACATGGAGAGGAGTGTGTTTCAAAATGGTGTTCTTGCAGATGAGAATTTGTTCGCCAACACTTTAAAACTTGAAACTCTCATATTAGCCAAATGTAAGTTAAGGGAAATAGAGGATCAGGCGTTCAAAAAACTTAAGCAACTGAAACATGTTGACCTAAGTCAGAATAATCTTACTGTCTTTAGTACAAACCTATTTGTGAATTTGACCTATATGTCCCTCAATTATGCTTTTAACTTTATCACAACCATACCTATTGATTCGGTGAGAAATATTTCAGATCAAAACATCATCAATTTTAGTCACAACCCCATTGACTGTTCCTGCTCCAACATTGACTTTTTATCCTGGTATAAAACCCACATGAACTTGTTTCTGGACAAGGAAAACACGGTGTGTGGTTCTCCACCTTCATTAGTGGGTACAGAGTTGTACAAAGTGTCATTATCTTGTGGAACTTCTTTGATGAGTGTCATAATATTAATCCTTTTTATAGTGATAACCATTATCCTAGCTGTGTGCTTTATAAGATTATACAGGAAAAGATTTTATTCATCCATATAGTAAGCCAAATAAAGAAAATCTGTCACATTGCCCAATGCCCATTTAGGGCAAATCAATTGGTGCTCTACCACCACCCCACACACCTGCTAGATTTTCAACTCCCTTGTTCTCCCCTGCAGCTCTTTTGGCTTTTTAGAGCCATGGCTACATGTTGCTCAGTGTCAGTGTATATTGAGGGTTAATGTACTGCTATCTTTTGTGACATTGCTCGGGCCTGATGACTGACCACTCACGCTTAAACAAGAAAAGGGAGGTCACATGTTCCTATTTACCTGGGAAAACTTTTTTTTCTACGAGTTTAGATGAGTGCAGGAGTGCTGTGAAGGAGTGCAGGAGTCTAATTGGCCCCTGATGTTTCCCTAAAGAGAACCGGTCACCTCAAAATGCTATCACAGAGGGACTTGCCCCTCTGTGATAGCAATATAGTTAAGCAAAAATAATAAAATGATAAAAAATAATAACTTAAATATAAAATTAATTTAACCCCCCCCCCCCCCCGCCATTTGCATGTGAATAAACATATGAAGGGCATGCACATGAATGTAAATGACGATTGCGCCACACGTTACATATCGCTGTGAATGTCAGAGTGTGAGCAATTATTCTAGTGCCATAAATCACTTAACAGTTAATTGATGAGCGGTGTAAACTTTTAAAGCATTGCAATTTTGTGTATTATAGTTTTTTTTTATTATACTCTTATTATACTACTTTTTATTATCTGTTTTCAGAAAAAATTCAGATTTTATCATGTTTGTGCAAAATGTAAGAAATTGCTCTAGACAGCAAGTGGCTAAATAACATTTAAAAGCTTTAACCTCCCTGGCGGTATGATTATTCAGGATTTTAGGTACCAAAAACGGTACATAAATGGCTTCAGGTACCTGGTTTGGTACTAAATCGGTGAGAATATGAAAGATGTTTGCTAAAGTAGGTTAACCTCTTGCCGTCCGCCCGTAGTAGAAAAACGGACGGACGGATTTCTAAAGTTGGCCATAAACTCTGCAATTATCGTTCGATTTCCTTCGTGCCGTCATCGAACCCTCGTTCGATTTCCGCACGCCCGCCCCATCATGCACAGACCAATGTCGATTTTGATTATGGTTCCTTAGCAATCCTAACTCAATGAATTTCATCAATCGACAAAACTGATTTTCATGTGCACACATGCAGTGTTCTTGCTGCGATTTTATTCATACAGAAACGCCATTAATCCATCGATTTTTTCATACAAATCGCAAAAAGTTTTCCAGCCTGGCCAATGGAGGAAATTCGGCCAGGAGTACACTAATTACAATCGTTGGTGTCCCATCAACTGATCGACTATTGTCAGGCCTGGCGCTATCGCAAGGGAAGGCAAGCGGCCGCCTTAGGGTGCTGAAGGGTGAGGGCAGAAAAAACAGGGCATTTTGACAAGTACTTGTACTTATGGAAAAAAAACCCTATAAAATATGAATATAAAAAATAATATGCATGAGGGCAATTAAAATCAGAGAGGCTTGGGAAATTCGTATCACTGTACTTGTTCTGAATCAGTGGGGCTGATTTACTATAGAGGTTCAGAATGTTCTTATAGTATATTGAGTGAAAATGTACTTCAATTATGCAACCACGTGCAGATATAATAGTTAAACAAAGATCTGCTGTTCACATGATTTGAAGTGAATCTTTACACAGTTTATTGTTTGAACTCAATTCTGTTAGTAAGTCAGCCTCAGTGACTAAAAGTGATGAAGCCGAAGCACCCGCTTGTCAGCCAGGTGTCTAGCATTTTCAGAAGGAGCTGTCTGCGATGGCAGTCCATATGATTTGCGTACAGTTGTATTTTTCTGATTTTTCATATGTTATTTAAAATAATTTTGTTTATTTTATTAAATAAAGTTTAATTAAAGAAAAGTCAAGATTAGTTTCTCTTATTTATTTTAACCACTTAAAGACCAGCATGTTAAACCCCCTTCCTGGCCCAGCCAGGTCTTGCAAAGCTGTACTGAAATTATTTTTATATAATTTTTTGGGGACACATAGAGGTTTATTTTGGTGGTATTTAATCACCACTGGGGTTTCCCTTTGTTATGTTATGAAACATTATCACCCTAAATTTTGGGTAAAATATCAAAAAAATATATAATGTAAAGTAATGCACTTTGGGTTTAAAAACAGGCAAACGGAATACACATTGATGGGTACTCCACTAGGGAAGTCAGAAATGGAAAAATATTTGGGGGTAGACCACAGATTGAATAATAGATGCAATGCCAGGCTGCTGCAAACAAAGCTAGCAGGGAACTGTCATGCATTAAAAAGGGAATGTTCTGTAGAGATAAAGCAATCATTTTACCACTTTATAGATCGCTGGTTTGACTACATCTTCAGTTTTGGTCATCTATCCACAGAATGGATGTCCTTGAAATAGAGAGAGTCCACAGAAGGGCACCAATACTAATTAAGGGGATGGAGGACCAAAGCTATGAGACTTGGTTGCCAAATTTAAACTTGTTCACGCTGGGAGTGAGGCGATTTAAGTGGGGACATGATTTTAATGTACAAAATGTTTAGTGGTGATAGTAAGATTACATCACTTCCGCATTCAGCTGTCATTTCTCTGGCTGCTAAAGCCAGAGAAGAAGCTGGTGAAACAGATATCAGCTTCATCAGCTTCTTTGGGGGTCCCCAGGTGACATTAGGGGTCTTAGAGAAAAAGGAAAAAGCTGTTGGACAGTGGAACATTAAACCATACATCGCCATTTGCCGAGTGGGTATTCCTGAAATTATTTATTTCTTGGGCACTAGAGAAGCACTTTGATTTAGAGTTAGTTGGAGCACTGATGTAAGATTTTGATTTGTGGGTGGACTATGATCACCGTTTTTTACCATCATTACATATTTTTGTGACAATTATTTATTAGACGCACATTTTTGGCATGTTTACAGCTTTATGTGTACTGATTAATATATTATTTAGATTTTTTTAAATACACGTTTTATATAAAGTTTAAAATTTTAGTTTTTGGGAATTATAAAGCGCAGTACAGTTTGGTTTATTCAGTTTGAATTTTATCACAGTTGCTTACAGTGGTAAAGCACATAATCTGAAAAAAGTCTTTCTCTCTATCTTGAAAACCATACAACCACATTTTATATTATTAGCTTGTTCAGTAACCCGTTGAAATATATACAAGTGGACTGTTTGCTTTATCATAATCACAGCTGCCTCAGCAATTTGTATTTCAATATGCATCTGAAATGAAGTGCAACACTTTCACTTCCCCAACTGATCTACCTGTTCCTCTTTGTTACTCTTATGTAAACTATCAGAACACTTAACTGTGTAAGTCACAGTTCCCCAATTCAACGTACAGTACATATAGAATGTATATTTATTTAAATACACAATCGTCTGTATTGTAAGTAGGACCTAAAAACACACATCCTAAACACATCCACAATGTTAGTTTAACCGCTTCAGTACTAGCATGTATTTATCCCTTTGTTACCAAGCCATTTCCACTGGCTGACTGACAATTACGCGGTCATACAACACTGCACCCAAATTAATTTTAGATTTCTTGAGACAGATAGATATCTTACTTTTTAAATCTTTTATTATATATAGGAATAAAAGAAAAGGAAAACAATGCCAGGACTCCTTTTTGGAAAGTAGACACCCCAAGGTGATGTCATTGGCTAGGTCTCCATTAGCTTTCTGCATCTGTATTTTTCCCATCCTTTGCAAGGTGGCTGAGGCTCTCTCAGGTTGAGTGGGGATCATGAATGAAGAATATTTCAGATCCAACTACAAATTCTCAGATTGAGATCTGAACTCTGACCTGGCTATTTCAAGTTATTAACATTGTTGTTTTAGGCCAGTCATGTGTAGTTGTTGCTTCTTGCTTGGGGTTGTCTTGCTAGAAAACAATGCAAAACACAAAAAATCCCCAGCACGCACACAGGGGATTTTTTGTGTTTTGTATTGTTGTAAGCCTTCCCATGTGCACCCTGCTACAAAGGCTGGTTATAAATGTATGCGGTTACCATCTTTTTCTAGTTTGCTAGAAATCAAATCTTCTTCCGATGATTCTGCAAGTTTTCTTCAGACTGGATCGGATTGTCCTGTATTTGACTGAATTCTACCTTCTCGCCTCATAACCCTTCCTTTGAGAAACATTTCCACACCCTTATGCTACCACTACAATGATTCATGGATTGAATGGTGTGTTTAACATCATGTGCAGTGTTTGGTTTATGCTGAACATGGAGTTTGGTCTTAGGGCCAAAAAGCTAAATGTTGGTCCCATGGCTAATAGAAACTCCAAAGTCTCCCACATGCATCCTGGCATATTGTGGATGGGATGTAATATAAGGTTTAGTGTAAACTCAAATCCTTTTGCTTTAGATACAACATGGAAGGGTTAAAACCTCTGTCAGGTTATATTTTCCTGCCTCTATCCCATTATGGAGGATTTCCCTTTACTTCTTGTCCTGTAGACACTACAGGAAATCTCTTCAAAGTAAATGGAATTCCCATCTTAAGCGCACCATATAGGTTACAATCTTATGGCAAAAATTCCTTTAGATTTACCAACTAAGCAGTACAAAGGACTAACTGATTGGAAACAGATAGATTGGATACTTTAGGTAGGTCCTTATATTACACAGTTCTAGTAAATTTAAAATTGTACAAAGATTGCCTGGTCAGATTGTAACATTCAGTGGCGTAACTAGTGACCTCAGGGCCCCATGCAAGAATCCCATGAAGGCCCCCCCCCCCC